AGTTAAATAGATGTTTCATCTTTGTTACAAGTGTGAAAGAGGGGATGTAAAAGTACTTAATCACTAAATGATCCCGTTGCTTAGACTGGTTGTTTGCAATAGCTGTATAAATGTTATTAATGGCACCCGCTTCTATTGTATTAAAACTTTCGCGATCTGAACACGGATTAGATATAAATCGGGACTTTATTGTGGTAATACTTATAAGGCACGATGCCCTTAACCGCACTAAATAAGACCGCAAGTAAATCCTTAAAAGATTTGTCCCTAAATAAACGACATGATATATTCAAACACAGCAAGTTGGATAGGCTCGTCTAGTGCTTACCGACCGAAAATGGTCACATTTAAGAATTCGAACTGGTCGCGCCCTTAACGCCTATATACTTTGAGGTGACAACAATAACCGAATATCTTTGTTATGGTGGTGTATTATCATCAAGGAATTCATATTTACTTTTTGTGCCGATCTCTTGCTATCTGAGCTAGTTCACGGGACATATAGTTTGACCTGCATCTATCTTTAGAACTTCGTAACAGAATACTTCAACGTGGTTTTTAGTAACTTCAAGAGGTTCCATTACTTCGAACATACTCGTACTTAGAAAACAATAAGTTTATTACACGTAGACTAGAAGTATATTAAGCCAGAGTTATTATTAAAATATAGTTAAAAGCAACCCTCTATGTTTTACATTCTATTTTTTAATTTGATTCTCTATACTTGTTATTTTGTAGTTTATATTAGGGTACTATAAACCTTTCGAGCGATTAGTCCCCCGAGTGCGCGGGGTAGCGGGTGCTCTGCATCGCCTGCTGCCCAATCTCGGGGGACCACGGGAAGAAGTTCGCCGTTTCTACATGGGCGTCGTGCGCTCCATGGTCCTCTATGGGGCGCCCGTCTGGGCTAAAGACTTGGCGGGTGCCTCCCGCTGCGGGGCTCTACTTAGAAGCCTGCAGCGGTTGATGGCCATACGGATCGTACGGGCTATCGTACGATCTCGTTTGAGGCGGCAACGGTCCTGGCGCGATATCCACCCTTCGACATTCTGGCAGACATGGACGCGATGGTCTATGATATATATAAGTTCGCTCTGTCGGTCGGAATGGTGAAGGGGCCGCGCCAGATCATAATAACGGAATGCTAAGGCGGAACGCACATACGCAGGCTCTGCGGACCTGGCAGGCACGGCTCGAAAACCAGGGCTGTGCTAGCCAACGCGCAGTGTGAGCCGTTTTGCCGAGCTTCGAAGCGTGGGGTAGGGAGGAACGACTGTGTCACCTATCGGTGAGTATCTGAATCGAATTGGACGGGAGGTCACGGCACAATGCCACCATTGCGGGTCCGACCGGGACTCCGCCCAGCACACGCTGGAGGACTGCCCTGCGTGGGAGTTTCGTCAAGTCTTGGTCGGACAGATCGGACGAAACCTGTCACCGCCAGCATTGATCGCGGCAATGCTGGCTAGTGGCGAGGGATGGGCAGCCGCGGTCTCTTTCTGCAAGGACGTTATGCTCCAGAAGGAGGCCGCAGAGCGGGATCGGGAGAGGCCCGATCCCGCTCGAAGGAGGCGACGAAGGGTCGCTGCGGCCACATCTTGGGGCTATGTGGCCGCTGCAAACGACCCGAGACAGACGACACTCCGGTGCGGCCGGGGGGTTTTGTCCATGGCGGGACGCATATGAGTAGTGGAAGGCGCGGCAGCCTCCCGCCCTAGGGTGACTACAGTCACCCCGGGATGTGCCTCAGACATGGGGTACGGCAGGGAGGACTCCAGAAGCCGCCGATGCGTTCCTGGAGCTCCTCCTGACTGCCGAGGTAGGCCGCCGCGGGGTTTAGTGGGTAGACCGGTTCTCCGGGAGTCCCACACACGCCCTGCGTTTCCCCAACGGAGGGTATGGTGCGAAAAGCATTCCCCGCGTTAAAAAAAAAAAAAAAAAAGGGTACTATAAACCTTACAAAGAACCCTTATAGTATAAAGCCATATCCGTCTGTATGTCTGTCGGTCCATATAAGTTTAGCTTGGCTTAGAGACTGTTAGCAATAGGCGGTTGCAATTACGTGGTTATATATCTAAATGTTACTACGTGAAGCGTGAACACTTTGTACCCTTTTTAAGACAATTGCGGGAACGAATAATCGAGAAATTTGACACAATTAAAGTTTATATGGAGAAGAAGTACAAAAAGCTATTTTAATATATAAAATTTATTAGAAACACATGCAATTAATTAAAATAAATATGACACACACTACTGCTTGTACGACACACAACATACAAACACATACATACCATACTTACTCTTTGGTTCATGGTTTAAATGTATGGTCAAACTGTAGGTTAATTTTATAAAAAATATAATATATAATGAAACCTTTGATCATAGAGGTATAGTCTATGACAAAGAACGCTAACAAAGTTGAAACATAAAAATTAAATGAATTATAATCAAATTACGACCACTGGGCGACCACTAGTAGGTATGTACAAATATGACGCAGTTAAGGGAGTAAAATAAAATATATTTTTAAATATTATATTATATAAAACTGCCAGTCCGAATAAGGGGAAGAGTTTTTTCTTGAGTTAAATGATCCATTTATGAAATAATACACATAATATGCGTGTGTGCTTAAACATCTGAAATGTTTTTAGTACTTAGGAGTGTTACTCATAAAATATCGATTACTTAATATTTTCTGTAGTTGAAATATTTTCCTGCAATTTAAAAAAGGGACTAACCGTGAGTAGCAGCGATTAATTGAAAAAGGGAATTATTATAATCGATTCAAAGTCTCAAGTCTCGAAGTCCCAGCGATATTTATATCCTTGCACACAAAGAAGCAATATTCACAAGAATTGAAAACCTTCTCCTGTTTAAAGTCTATTAAAAACGAGATCTGCTGGCGAGTACTATCATTTACTGCATAGTTAAAACGATATAGTTTCTTGCAAATCGCATTTGGTATCGTTGTGAAGCCACCCAACTGTGTGTAGTGCTCGATGCGGCGCCTCTGGGGGCGAGGGCCGCGGCCACTTCTTCATTCAACTGTCGTATTTTTAACAACTTACTTTGATATTGCAAAGAATTTCCTTGTACTTTGTTCCAGTCGGTGAGATTCTTATGAATCAAATATATTCTAAAAGATATTTCTTTCAGTAAATCCGCTCAGCTTAACCCATTTTTGTATAATGCTTTCCGATAGCAGATGTTCTTATATTTAAGTACAACGAAACTCATATTAGAAGATTTAGGACTTAACCACACAGGATTTAACCAAAGGAAACTGTAATCTAATGTAATCTTTCTCGTTTTTTCTTTGTTGATTGCTTTAGAGCAATTATTTTAAGGATAGTTATATTTTTACTTAATACTTTTATATACAAATGTATTTCTTTCTTAATTAAAAGGTATACATCCCTTTTGGTGGGCGGCATGTTCAGCGTATCAATGTCTTATTGTGTAAGTCAGTTGCGAATAAACACTTGAAGCTAACACACGCTGTTTCCTTGTAGTAATTGTAAAGACGCGATGTTAGACCTTATAACATCTACACAAAGTTCAAACATAATACATGAAAACTGCAGCCAGTTTTCATACATGGATGGGTGCGTCCTTCCCTTGGTCCATGCTATTTTATACGGTAATGTGAGTTTTGTCCAGATCTAGTCGTATTTCGTAATTCGTCTGAATCTCTGTCCAACGTTTGTGATTGTAGAACAATAGTATTTATGTAATATTTATAAAGGTTTGTTTTAATACACAATACAATAAAATAATCTAACTCACGCAACTGAAATAGCTTTATTAACAAACGACAAAATAGCGTGGTCAGCCGTCGAACTGTAGCTTTGCCGGAATTACGTTGAAATAAATAAAAAAGAAAGTAATAACGGTAAAAAGGTCGCCGTAAACATTGACAACGGAGAGCAGAGTGGACAACGAACCCTCTCGGGAGGCTTACGGCAATAATCATCGCACTCGGCCCGACTTGTATTGTGATCGTGCCCATCGACGACCGAGCCCCACTAATCTCAGCTTTAGTTTACGACGAGCCCTCCAAGTGACGGGCATAAAAATACGTACACAGAATTTTTAGGATAATCCGAAATAACCCGTCTCTACCGACTCCCTTGGCGCGTGCTTTGTGATTACTGTGGCTCACATCCGCCCATTTATTATGCATCCAGGGTATTTACTGTGCCACTATTAAACATTAACATCGTATTAAATATTGCTTTCATTGTTTAACATGAGAAAACGGGTTAAGGGTTGTTTGTGTAAGCCACAAGCAGCGCGTTAACTTTCTTAGTATAGAAGATTATAATGATTTGTAAAATAAATGATTTATGCGAACCTTATACCTCCAGACACAAAGTTATTGTGGACAATAACAGTCCAGACGAACTAGTTTGGATATGACCTCACATCTTTGTCAGATGATTTCAGTAGCGTATTTGTGGCAAATTTTAATATGGCTGGGTAGTCCGATGCGTGAGTGGCAGTAACGCCAACACGATTGTCATTTGAGTTTACTATCGTCTGGAGGTAGGGCTGGTAAATCGATCCCCTGGGCCATGTGTTTCTTGCACGCCTGTTAACCAAAGTCTGGAACCATCTCGTGGCATGTACCCCACAACCGTCGCTCAGAGACTTTTTCCAGACTTTTTCCGGTTATTTGCTAAGTCTTCCCAGTTCTCGTGGTTGATGCCGAATGCATGCATGTCGTTTTGCACAGGTCTTGTGCACTTAGTGAGCTTACACTGGTGTCCGGAAAGCCTATCCGCATTGTTCGGACATTTACGTTACTTCAATTTTCCTCTTTAGTAGCGTCAGGTGTAACAGACACAACATCAACATGCAGGAGAAGCCTGGTTGTTCCATACACCCCGATGGAACAGTTAATGCTGAGGTGGATAAGTGCCTTTTTGGCCGGGGGCTACCCGGCTAAAGTTGGCGGTAACTGGTCAGTGGGTATACGATGGACCCTCCCACTGTCAGGAGTGACCCCTGGCGCTCGTACTTACGCCTATACGTACGAGCTTATAACCAGTAACTGCCACTCCCGGGGTTGTTTTCCACGCAGCTAAGTTAACGTGACTGAAGTTTCCACTCCACAGGCGCTGCATCGCCAGGGATGCAGTTTGTTGACGCGGGGCTGCCCAAGAACCACGCCAACCTCTCGATCTTACTGGCTGGATCCGCAGGAAAGACAAGCCAATATGTGCGGAGCCAGGTCTGCTTGTTGGGGACTGCTTATTTAATTCGCATCTGGCCGCTATATCTAGTGGCATTTCACTGTCCAACACCTGTGACCACGCTGATGGTCTACGTGACCTTGAAGAACTTAAATAATTACTACACTTGAGGTTACATAGCTTCTAGCACAGTCTGTACCCATAAAAGATAAAAATTATTGATTTTACTGCAACTTGATATGCATACAAATTAAATTTCAAGATTCACTGTTTGTGTGTTGTTATACGAGTATAATGAGTAATAATGACAATTATCCAGCTGATCGGTAGCTTGATCTTGTACCATACCCATGAGGGTATACCTAAACTTAACACCTGTCAAAGCTGACTTTTGTAAAACATAATTTATTATTTTAACCAGAAGCGAGAATTCCAAAAGCTCACCTGTTATTTGCGTTATATTTTGAATAATGGAGTTCGTTCTTTAAAAAGCTTTATTGAGCGAACATTTGGGTAAGCCATTAACTAAACTTTTTATGTATGACTGGAAATAGATGAGATGGATAAGAATGTTAAAAACTTTTTGTTAATATTTGCTAAACCGCACCTAGTCATGCCTTCAAACACTACTCATCACGTTATTGTTTCGAATTATATTCTCCAGCGTCCTCAGTAATCTTTAATGTGTCTCATGTGGGCCACAGCACTTTCATCTCATGCACTGTATTGCTTGTTGGCTTGTTGGTTTGATAGCAATTTTTATCAGGCTGCAAATAATAAAACTAGGTAATATGTTTAACAATGACGTAGACAGAGACATGGGTCACTGAGTATATAAAATGATTTACAGGTAGACTTAATTTTCATAAATGGACACAAGTAGAAAGATTAATTAGTTCAAACTTTCATCGCCGACACAAAATTTCTTATATTTGTTAGTTGCTATAATTGGAAATATTTAACAAAAATGTACTAATATTAAAAAAATAGGATAAAAGTCACTATTGTCAGCAAAAACTTTTACTTTGTATGATGGCAGCGTCTTATTACTTTTGGTAAATACTTGTAAAACAGAAGTTCCAAAACCATAATGTGTGTATATATTTATTAGTTTTCATGAAATACCAACACGCGTACACGTACCAAACAAAACCTACTATGAGCTTTAGACATTTGTATTTTTGTTTTAATGAATATGAACAGAAAATTTAGAGCGTAATAAAATTTAGAGCGCATTAATGGAAAATTTATTCATAGCAAGAAAGAAGTTAATAATTTAATGTTGAGGTTGTTCGGTATTTTAAGAGTTTCGAAATACAATACAATTTAATTATAACGAATATAACATATAATTCATTAAATTGTCTGGACCGGGTAATTTGTGTATTTATGGACCTTTGTATGTATGTATTTATATTATGTTGTATTTATTTAGGCGTACTAGTTGTACGTATACTGTAAACATATGTAGTAACCTTATATTTATTTAATTATTCATTATTTTCAATATATTCTAAGAGAACATCGCAGGCTGCCCTAATTTAAATTTGTCAATATCCGCATAAAAGTTTTTTCCAAGAGATCGCCTTAAGCGATTAGACGAAATATATATAATATTTGAACAAATAATACTGCAGTGGTGTACAATAAACAGATAAATAAATAAATAAATATTGGATAATAAAAGGTGACCTTTTGAAAAGCAGTGTATTTATTTGTATCGGCGATTCAGGGTCCCTTGAGAACGTATCCAGTCATATGACGAGTTAACTCGCCGTACGATTCAGTGGACGGGGCAAACCCTCAAAGGAATACTTTTGCCTCGGACGGCGTGCCGCCGCTTCATCTCAAGTGATGCACAAAGTGTACTTCTTATTTGGCAACTTGACATACCGACGATAGCGAATACGTCAGCACAGGAATAGGTACATATATCGTGCATCTTGAATAATTTAATGTTATGGGCGTGTTCAGTTTTTAAACCGGAGTCTATATTTACGTTCCTTATGTTCTTTGGTAAGTTGGACAAATATATGTAAATGAAGATCGTCCCTTCGTAAACACTTGAAAGATTTTATGAACTAGTTACGAGGTGAAAGAATCGTTACGAAATTCTAATAAACGAGCGCACTGGAAAAGTTAAGTTCGAAATTTCCTCAGCGTACCCGCAGTATTTTTGAAAGATAAAAATATATTTTTTACCGCTCTTGGAATAAAAAGTTTATCTCGAACAAGTAATAAAATTACAAAATTCGACTGAAATGAGGTCGGAGAAGGTTTTGATGATCAGTGCATGGTGACTTTTTTATAATGTTATTACAAAATGTGAGGTTTTTAAACTCACAATAGGTTTTCTACTGCACATCCCTAGTAAAGATTGCACAAACGAGTTGCGCACTCCATTGGACACTTATTTTTTAATTGTGTAATAATGAATCCGTTCTAATGGAGAAGCCACTGTTCACTCTCGAACTCTATAAATATTAAAGGATCACTTAGTTAGTAGAAGGGAAGATTATGGTATTGCTCGAGCCGACATTATAGCGGCAAATCCGGTATCCGCTAATAACCGCGATCCATCAGAGCCATCCGCTGAGCGCCCGCGTATTTGTCATTACACCAGCCGCCGTAACTGTTCACCTAAATTGCGCGAATACTTCCCAACTTTGACTGTTTTACTTTATTTAACTCAATTTAAGAACATTTTCGTGGCAATTATGTGAGTGAAGTTCTCTACGACCCGCGACCCGAGTGCCGCGCCGCGGGGCTCTATACATAATTTACACAAGTTTTAAAAAAAAATAGGTACACATTTAAGCAGTTAATTATATTCGTTCACACACAGTGTAATACTTGCATTTAAATTCCTGCTGCTAGGCGTTTTTATGAATTTCGTCGCTCTGTATATGTGATGTGATGGTATGCGTAGAGCGCATTGTGTCTACGCAGACCGCTAATGTTTAATCTTGCTTGTATAACAAAAAGCGTTGCACCGTATGTGGTTCGCTTGGTCAAGGTTCAGTCCGTACATACAAATATACACCTTAGAATACATAAACGAATATTATAAGATGTCACCTTGCCACTGCTACTGTATCGAGTCCTACATCTTCCTACAGTAGTATAGTGATTTACGTAGGCGATGTACTAAACATTCTACTGTATATAGGTTGTCGATTGTGGCACGAGCTTAATGAAGATTCATGTAGCTTCATCGTCACTTCGATACAACCATCAGTTAGTTGTTTAGAGCAAAGGGTTCGGCTTACACGGCGTATTAATTGTGTTAGGGTCGTTAAGAACAGGGACCGTTTAACTCTCGTTCTCAAATAGTTTGTGTGTGCGTATACTGAGCAAGATGATTGAATTTCATAAAACCCATTGGTATGATGCTTACACATGTAGCATTACTGTGCCATCGCAGTATTTGAGCCGTCTATAGGTGTCAAAATACATATATAATACAAATAAAATTAACTATTGCTGGCAGAATAGATTTAAGAAATTAGGTGAGATGTATGGTTTGTTCATGGAACCAACTATTTAAATAATAATTTTAGACACCACAAAAAAAATATTTTTTTCGTATTTTACTAACAAACTATACCAGTAGTTACGACGTAGAGATAAAATCTTAAACCTGATACTAGATATTAAAAGAAACTTCAAAAGACAAAGGAGTAGTATAGGCTGTATCCAAATAATAAAAAACTTACTAATCATTTAAATTAATATTGATTTTCACAAAATTCACACAGACAATCTTTTAAATTTCTTAAGGGCGTTTAAAAGAGTAATGATCGTATAGTAAGGTTCCACGCAGGTGAATTTAAAGGTTCTTGCCAAGCGCATTTTCGTAACGAACTCTTAATTCTCTCACTCTTCTTAATAACTAAAATTGTATATTAATCAAATGGTGGTTTTAAACGTTAATAATGTCACATGTGACTTGAATACTTAATTAATTAATATGAACGCTAGTCATATTCATGTACTACAGGTTTTTTTGTAAATTTCAGGCACTAGCCTCTCACAATAATTGTCTACATAAGTACTCGTAACTGTACATTTTTGCCATCCTATTTGTACGGAGATAAAATTAAAATATAGATTAAGATTTTAAATCAATCGGCTTCAAACCGTTTCAATATAATCAAGGTGTGAAATATAATTAAATGTTTTTTTTTTATGTTAGGAGGGACAGACGAGCAAACGGGTCACCGGTCACGGAAAGTGACCATCGTCGCCCATGAACGTCTGCAACTTAGGAGTCACAAACGCGTTGCCGGCCTTGTAGGAAGGGGTACGCTCTTTTCTTAAAAAAAAGTTATTAAATATTATTTAAATTATTATTTAAATGTTCCACCTACAATATGTTCATTGTCAAATATGGGACAATGTTCACGTTCACAATGGAACGTTGGTTAACGGGGCGTGTGTTCATTACGTCATTACCGGCCGGATGTTGGTCTGTTACAATAATAATTAATAAGTGAAACGCTCCGCCACACACCGGATGGGCGGCGAGGCACAGTAAGGCTGTATATTCTGAGAACACCCCACTTTGTCATACGACTCATCACGTTCCGGAACTCATTCCGCAAATAATTGGAAGAGGGTGCTACAAAGCAACATGTTTCAACGTGTCTTTATTGATTTCAGGACGGAGGCGCATCCCAAGCCCGTACGAAGGCGACCCGGCTTTGACGGTACCTATTATTGTATTATTGGTAGCATTTTAAGATAAACGGGTAAATTATTCCAAATATTGCTTTAAATTTATAGTGCAGTGATCAACTAGCCCGTGTTTGTCAGTTTAGATCATTTTATTTTGGAATTAATCAAAATTAAAGCAACCTAAAAACCTTTTAAATGTGTGTTACTGTTGGTGTTGTATGTATATACTTGTTATTGTTTATATTATTGTATATTTTTATTCAGTAATAGCGCCGTAGTCAGGATGTAAATCTACTTTCATCAATAATGTATCGATGTACTCTGTGTACAAATAGAAAATCAAGTAGAAATTCATGAATGATGTAATATTATATGTTAAATGAGAAATTTCAATAGCAACTTTTATAGCTCTGTAACAG